AAACTGCTCAACAGCCCTACAGGTGGAATTCTTCTCTTCAGGACTTCAGTCAACAGATTCTTACATGGGTGATAATGAAGATCCCAGCCAAGCTAGTTTATTATTCCAGTAGACTTCATTTTATTGTCAGATTGGATGAGTTGGTATTAACCATTAAGTAGCATTATTACACTAAATAAAGAATAACCTCTGTAATGATGTATTTTATAATAAAACACCCCCACTGGCCAAACGGTGGCAGAATCAGTGGGCAGGGATGGGCTTATGAGGAAACGGTAGAGAGGCTCTTCAGAGAGCTGTGTCCAAAAGCTATTATAGACTTCACCATCAACTAAACTTTAAACAAATCAAAACCTCCTTGTCATCAAAGGGAAATGTAAACCAACACTGAATACTATCAAGAACAACATTCTTCATATGATTCTACAAATTCTTCAAGTTTTTCATAGGTGGTGGCCATTCTCCCATGATTTACCTAACTATGGAATTCTTGAAACCCTTTAGTAAGACCCTTTTAGAGATCTAGACACTTGAGCTGAGAAATGTGCCCACTCTAAGGGCTAAAAACGACCAGATCTACAACGTAGGCTAAGTTTTCCCATCTCCTCTGCTCACGCCGTCCACACTGCATCATACTTTGGTGCTCACTAGAGGAAGGCATTTTTCATGGTTGTATTACAAACCCAGTGAATTTCAGTGTTTTCTCTCCTCACTGCTCAAGGTGAAAGACATTTCCCAGTGTCACTCTATTGCTACTGCCTTAATTCAATTTTCAAGAAGGTATCTTTTAAGTATATATGTCCATCTATATCTATTTGAGAACTACTACGTACAAGTTGTGACTTAAAACAAACAAAATGACTGTTAGACAGTCAATCCTACTACCTATATTACCTTAGCAGGGGAATGAAACCATTTTGCTTAATAAAGAAAGATTGAGCTCCAGATAACATCTGCCAAGAATATAAAGTTTTGTCAACTTAATCAAGCAGTAAGAGATGCTGACTAGCTTCCTTAGTCTGAATCAAATGAGCAATTATAATTATTCAACCAAGAAGTACTCACTCACCTGTGATAGATGTGAAAATTATAGCAAAATACCAAGGTGTTAGGTCCATCTCTCAGAACTGCATACAAATCGAGGAAACACAATTTAACTAATGGAGATGAGTAATAAAAACAAGGGCCGAGGAAGTAAAGGGAATGAATGTAAACACTAATTAATAAAAAATTTCTAAGAATCACTAACAGTGAAAGCAATGCAAAACAGAACTAAATCAAAACAAAAAACCAAAATATGGCAGGAAGAAAATGGCCAATCCACACCAGCGTCAACCCATTCAGAACAAAGAAGGTAGACCAGAACCAGCTACAGGGTTTATTTCCCTACTCCCCACTTATTTTGGACGACACATATTACACTCCACATGGCAAGACCTATCACTTTGCCAGGTTCACAATAATGTAAGTGAATCTTGCTGGGCACAGTGGCAAATACCACCTTTAACCCCAGTACTCAGGAGGTCTCTGTGAGTTCAAGACCAACCTGGTCTACAGAGCAAGTTCCGAACAGGGCTGCCAAAGCACACAGAAACCTTGTCAAAAAGGTAAGTAAATCTTGCTCTGTTAAGTTCGAGACAATACCCAGATAATGACACCATTAGAACTATTAACCCAATGTTAAGTTATAACATTCACATATTACAGTTAACTTTAAATGAAACCCTCCCATTTTCCAAGCACTTCCTTTATCAACCTAGTTAGTACCTGTTACTAAGGTATTGCCGATTCTACAAAGCTTTTATTTATCTACTCTCCTTTTGTAGCAGGTTTTCAGATATTTATGTATACTCCTAACCAGCACACCACTCCATGAGACCGCGCTCTAACAGGTAGGAAAAGCAAACACAGGGCAGGAGAGTTGAGGGGTTTATCCACATTTCCTGACTACAAAGCTAGAAGAGTCCTGCTGTGACAGCACCTCTTGCATATTTACTCTTAAGTACTGACTTGTTCATCAGTTTATTTGTTATTTCCTTCATCAGACACTAAATTCCCCAAGGGCAAGCATCAATCTTGATTTCTGACCTCAACATTCAATTACTCAATACATGTTTACTTGATGAAACAAGGAATGAAGAACTTGCTTAAAATCTGGCACCAAATAACTAGTTTCATGCCTTGACTTCATAGACTGAGCTCTGAATGCATCTGTTTACTACATTTGATCTGACCTGTAACTTTTACTGCTTGATTTATGAGACAATGCATTTCACTGTTGTTTTAAAGAAAAAAAAAAGAGTCTAGGTCTATAAAAATTATTTCAAAACACTGATTTTTACATTGCTCTCTATTAAACCAAAGTCTCCAAATTTTAATTTTCACAATTTCATCTTATAAGAGAAGGCAACAACAATGTGGTTTTAAATTACTGCAATTCAAAAGGTAAAGTTGATTAATAATATATGACGTAAAGAAATTGAGCACTGACTACTTGCAACCAATTCAGCAACCCACTTATGCTTGCTTACAGTGAGCCATGCTATCTCTGTCTATCAAAACACACTCCCCCGTCTGCCTGCCTGCCTGCCGTTCCCTTGAAGCCCTGGGTAAACACTACAGGTAAGCTCTGAGCAATGAGTCCACTAGCACATACAGGCAATGCCCTCCATGCCTGAAATTCATGGGCTTGGTATGTGAACGCAGCAATCACTTCTGGTAGATTGTATACTAAATATAATAAAACCAGCAAAGCCGGCCTTTTCCCTGCACAGGCAGTACATGTTTAAGAAAAAAAAGCTGGAGATTTTCCCAAACTCAAAAAAATTAAAAAATTAACGTTGCTTTAAGAAACTCACATTTTAATGATACTGGTTTTATGCAAAAATGAAGTGTTACTCCCTTAAGACCACTTTGATAACCAAATTATTAAGGGGCAGAGAGTCCTCACGAAACAACACGCTGTAGTGGAAAGTACAAAGGGACAAGACATACAGTTCCAGTTACATTCCTAAATTACTGTGTGACTTGGGGCCAAGGGCTCCACTTTCTCTTTTGTTTAAAATACTATATACCAAGAAGGACTTCCTTCATTTTTAAAGTTGACTCCCCCTCTTTCTTTCTTTCAAACTGTTTACTACTTCTGGTTGTAGACTTGGTGTTCTTTTAAGTCTAAATTTTAGAACAAGAAATACATCTTAAGTCCAATGGGATGATTTAGCGTCCAAAAGTAGGTATAAAGAGTAAGTTCATAAAGTTAACAATTAAGCTGGTAACTTTCCAGAAACCGTCTACTCTTAACTTCTTAAGCAGGTGTAGTCTGGTTTGACATATCTACCATTGCTAAGGAAAAATATAAAATGGTCCTATTCAGCTGAAACTTCTCTGGGTGTTTTTGGGCTCCAGGAGCACACACTGGGGGGGGGTGCTAGCAAGGGACTGGTCAGTATCTCAACAATCCCCCTTTCAACTCGAGTCAACTCAGTAAGATCAAGATAAGGCCTTCACCAGGGAGAACCTTCCAGCCCCACAAGCCCATAATGAATGCTTCCGTCAACAACACGCATTTCCCCCCTCTTCCCACAGAACTGCTCGCTCCCAAGCCGCCATCTGGGGTTGGGATTGACCCCACAGGACCAAACTCAGAATCACTTTTGACTGCAACGGCCAAGAACTACTAGAAACTGCGGCGTCTCTACGCATGGCTGCGGAGAGAGCAGCACTCTCTTACCAATGCAAGGAAGAAAAAAAAAAACACAAAATAAAACAGAAAAACAGTGGGGCGGAGTGCAGAAGCTAGGCCTAGGCGCAAACGCTGGGGGAAATAAACCCCGTTTCGTTGCAGTGGGGTGCAGACGCGTTCCCTGCCCCTTGCTCTGATAACGGTGACCATGAACCTGCACTCCACTCCATCTTCTCACGGAATCCTAAAGGGGGATCGAAAATCCGATGCGCTTCTTCCCCCACCCCCCATCTATTCACTCCTAAAGCATTGTTAAGGAAGAGTAGCCCAGATCCAGAAGTAGGAAGTAAAGCAAGGGCCAGTGCTGGGATCCTGTGCTGAGATGAAGCTACTGATGCACCAAGAAAAAAATCCCCTTGTGGTCTAGAGTAAAGTTTGAACCTGCAGCAAGGGCGCGGACCCCGACTTGGACTACCGGGCAGGCCAGCGGAGGAGGTGACACTCCCTTGTTCTCCAACAGCTCAGGGAGGCGGCTCCCGGCCGGGCCGGGCCGGCCTGCACCCGGGCTAGCAGGGCGAGGGCAGCACCAGGGCCCGGGAGGCTGGAGGCCTGGCCCGCAGCGGGACCCCAGCCGCGCCCGCCCCCCTTCTCCCTCCTACTCTCCAGTCGTCGTCCCCCCCAGCCCGAACCCGCCGAGGGGACGTTGTGGGTGTCGACAAGGGTCCCGGCTACTGACCACACATTTCTTGCCGAGGAAGGAGAAGAGCGACTCGTTCTCCTGCGGGGTGAGCAGCAGGGAGCCCACATTGGTGACTCTCCGCGGAGGCTGCTGGCCCGAGCTCATGGTGTCGCCGGTCGGGTGGAGCGTCCAGGGCGGTCTCCTCGGGAGGTGGCCGAGCACTCGGTCCCCACTCGGGGTGACAGGGGCGCGCGCGGGCCGGCAGTCACGGGCGCAGCATCCCGCCGCTCCTCCGGCGCGCGGAGGCCGAGGGAAGGAGCTGACGGCGGGCGCCCTCGGACTGCGTGTCCACGGGGAAGCTCCCGGCCCCCGCCCGGCTCGGCTCGGGCCGGATGGTCGTCGTCCTGGCGCTCCGGCGGGCGGGCGGCGCTAAACTCGCTACTCCTCCTGTCCTCCGGCGGCGGCGGCGGCGGCTGCCGCACAATCCAACATGGCAGCGGGGGCGGGCGAGACCACGGGACGCGGGACGCGGGGGGGAAGGTGGGGAGCGCGCCGGAAGCGCGGCGCGGCCGGACACCCCCGCCCTCTCGCTTGCTGCGCGCCGGGGCGTGGCCGCGCAAGCCCCGCCCCCATCCGGGAGCCGCGACGCCCGCCAGCGCTTAGCCGGGATGGGGTCCGGAGTCTCCCGGGAGCCGCCTCGCGCGTGCGCGACTCGGACCGAGGCGGCGCTGGAGAGTCCTGCGTTACCTCCCCCGGACTGGACGCCTCGTTACCGCCCCGCACACCTTTGTGGGCGTCCGGGCCCGGGGTTCAGGGTTTGGCATTAACTGAGATGGGACTGTTAGGCCGCCTGGCAGGTCTGGATTAGCTGCAAAGGTTGGCCAGCAGCGTGGTTTCGGTTAGAACCCCGATCAGGTGCCTCCGGTTCTCGAACTCAGTACAGGCTGCCCCTGGGGGCGTGGAGGAGCCAGGATCAGGGAAGGCCTCTTCATAGATGTCAAAAACGGACCCCCTTACAAAAGGCGTCCACCACCTGCCTGGCGGATCTCGTGGGATAAGTGTGTGTAGCGTTTACACTCGAATTTTCCGACGAGCCCTGAATGCCACTTAGTTTTTTTTTTTTTTTTCTTGTCTTGGAATTGGAAACTAACCCTCTCCATCGTCCTCAGTCTCGAATTCCAAAGATCTTGTCTTTTTATTCAGCATAAATATGCGCATTTGGGAATGTATAGGGATATGCCTTACCTCTTTTATCCTTACGAGTTAATTTCTGTTTTGTAGATGCTGGGACCTAGGCCTGGTGTGCCCTCAGACAACTGATCTACATTCCCAGCACAAGTAAATACTGAGAATTCTTCGTTAACTGTGTTTCAGAATATCAAAGCTTAATATAAAATGATATGGTTGAATGAAAAACAAAAAAAACTATTAAAAAACTTGGAGTCTAGAAATGATAAATCATTTCATTGAATGATATAAAATGTGCATTTCACCGTTAAGGATACAATTTATCACGTAACTTGTACTAACAATGTTTGTGAATTATTCAATTTCAATTAAACACTTGCATATTAAAATTTTATGACAAACTCTGGTAAATCTGTGATAACTCTCAATGCATTGGTAAACCATTACCAATGAAGTAATAAAAATATGAAAGTTTTAAGGCTGCCTATAATGCCCATAGTGAAATTAGGTGACCAGGAACAAGTCTACAAAAAAAGATGATATCATATACTCTTAGGAGTACTCACATAATATGTAGATATTTCAAATTAAACAAATAATAATTTTAAGGGGAAAATTAATCTAAAAAAATAGCAAAGACTTTAAAATAATTAGACTATGAAAAGTCGCTTGTAGAGGTGCAAACCACTTTGAATCACAGAACTAACGTGGGAAATGTCAGTTTATGTTTTATTAAAAATACACCTCTTATTAACTCAAAGCACAGCAGCAACTGAAGTCATCAGAAATTCTTGGGAAATGATTCAGCCCTGACATTTTCAAACACGTGAATTTTAGTATCCAAAAACAGAGGCTGTAGTTGGTTCAAGGTTAAAGTTCCTGTTAGACCTTTTCTGTCTCAGGTTCCTCATCTGTAAAATGAAATTGCTCTTTCATAAAGGTAATATAGTGGAAGTTTGGATGGTTACACCTACTTTAAAACTGTAAAGTAAGATAACCTGATACACAGTGGTTACTCCAATCCTGCCAACCATTTACCATCATTGCTTATAATCTGCTAGATGGTCCTTTGAGAAGAGCAGTGGTTCTCAACCTGAGGGTCCTGGCCCGTAGAGGCATCAGATATTTACATTATGATTCGTGACAGTAGCAAAATTAGAGTTATGAAGTACCATTGAAATCATTTTGTGGTTGGGGGTCACCACACCATGAGAAACTATGAAAGAGTTGCAGCATTAGGAAGGTTGGGAAACACTGGTGTAAAGGAGAAAGAATTGAAGAATATATTTTTGTATTTGTTGTTTCTAAAACTCTGATCCTTCAAACCCTCTTATTTATGGCTTTTCACAATTCTCAAATTTGTGTCAGTAAGTTTGGACTATAATCTCTCTTCAGGCTACATATTTTTCCAAATAGGTTGTTTTATCCCATTATGCTAAAATACCAAAATGGTTAATACTATAATTCTAGACAGGCCTATTAATTAGTAAAATTCAAGAAACTAGGAACCTAGCCCAGAGAATGCCTGCTTAATGTGTGCAAGGTCCTGGATTCGATCCTCTTCACTGACAAAGAAAGGAACACACCAGAAGAAGCAATTACAAAATATTTTGAGAGTGTCTGTAAGAGTGTGGTATGGGAGGGGTTGGAGGGAAGATGACTGGGAGGGGCTGGAGGAAGGGAAGGGTGAAAGTGAGGTTTATTCTATTTTCATCTAAAATTGTACACAAAATTAGAAAGAACAGTTTTGAACTAACAATACCAGTGAACTGCTTTGAAAACAGATGTGAGAGAAAATTGTGGAAACAAACAAACAAGAAAAGCTGTGGTGTGGTGAGTGAATGGCAATAGGTCTGCGCCTTAGAACATGAGAGACCTATTGAGTTCTGATCATTTCACACACTTTTACTAGCCTGTGTTTCTTGTTTGTATTGTCTGCTTTTTTTCCTTCTCAAGAAATGTTTACGTCTTACCTAAGTACAGCTTTCATTCACTGCCGTCTGCTTTCTTTATACTTGAAGGCTAAAAGTTATGATGGTCATGTGCTTTTTCCTCAATCCCAAGTTATTTGTGTCTTCCACAAAATTTTCAATATAGTACTTTGTTGTAACGAGCATTCTTCCCGCCAGCCTGGTCCCAGAGCCGCATCAGTCCCAAATGAACATGCAGAATGCTATTTTAATTATGAAGCTGTTGGCCGTTTGCTGTGGTTTCTTGTTGGATAGCTCTGACTTAATTATTAACCCATAATTACTAATATGAGTATTTCCATGTGGTCTTCTCTTACCGGAGAAAGGGTCTGGATCTCTTACTCCTCTGGCATCCTACATGATGACTGCCTGTGCCTCTGTTTCCCAGAATCCTTTACCTCTCTGAGTCCCACCTATCTTGCTTCCCTGTTGGCCAACAGTGCCTTATTCATCAACCAATAAGACAAACATATACACAGAAGACCACTCCCCATCCCTTTGTCCACAAAGTTATACCTTCAGTTCTTATTTCCACCTCTTTATTTTTTCCCTCAGGACTTTCCCCAATACCTTGATAGTCTTTTGTTTTGTTTTGTTTTGTTTTTCAAGAGCTTTGGAGGCTGTCCTGGAACTAGCTCTTGTAGACCAGACTGGTCTCGAACTCACAGAGATCCTCCTGCCTCTGTTCCCTGAGTGCTGGGACCAAAGGCATGTGCTACAACTGCCTGCCTTACCTTGATAGTCTTAAAGCATGAAAATTTAAGTGTGAACATTTCATTGGAAATGAGACTTCCTTACTCATTTGAACATGTGAATAATGTATTATCAAAGTTCCTCTGTACAGTACACAAACTGTGCTCTTTTCCACATTCATCTTGAAATCAAGAAGTATTAGCAATATTTGTTTCCAAAAGCCCAGCAAGTCCTGACTTATGCTTGATAGCATAACTTCTCTAGCAGGGCACATGACAGCTTTCGTTGTTTTCTTTGGCAAGCCATTTTCTTATCTCAAATTCCTTTTGCCCAGTTTCAGATACTGGATTTGATCCAGGAAATAAGCATTTGCTTCTCCTTCAACTGCATGTTTTGAAGTTTATTAGCTAGGCTAAAAAGAGTAGGGTTGTTTTATCTTAATATAAAATACATCTGCTGTATTAAAATGTGTAGAAATAGAATAAATATAAAAAGTAATTCTTGCATTTACTTCTTTCATGTGGCTTTCCATCCCTAACCTAAAATCTCTCCTAGTGCTTTATTTTCTGCTGTCTTGCTTGGCTATGATCCTCTAAGGTGAACCCTTCATTTTGTCAGAGCACCTTGGAGTAACATATTTATGGAAGTGGGGGCATATTTTCAGATGTCTCCCATGTTACTATAACTACACTTGGCACATTTTTCTTATCCTGGTCTTCAGTTATTCCTTTTTCCTCTTTACAGATGTCAGTGTGCATGTACTCTTACAAGTCCTCCGAAACACACTACTGCCCTGGTGAATGTTAATAATTTAAAATGTACTGACACCCTTCTCTGTGGGAGAATGGGGTAATAGCAGCACACAGGGATCTATTGGCATTCAGCCATTGTAGCCATAATTGCTGTTTCTGACATGTTGCCTAGCTGCGGGAGAACTGACTTATAGAGACAAAACAGCAGGTCTGGATGCTGCAGAGAAGATGAATATGGCTTATTTCACTGCAGCCTCCAAGTGGCATGGGTGCAAAATGTCCACATTGATGTAGAATTCCTGTGAACATTTTTGTCTAAGCATTGTGTAAGTTGGAATACTTGAGCATATTTGATCTAGTACATATTTTCTCCAGTTAAATGTGGAATGTTTTGTTATTAAAAATAAAGCTGCCAAACTATTTTTTCCTACTGTTCAAATTCATTTTAAGTACAAATCACTTTGTGGATTCCATTTAAAGAATTGATGGATGATCTGCAACTCATTCACATTCGTCATTGATTTTAGTGGGAAATTGGAGTCTTACTCAACTTTAGTGAATTACCTGTGGTAGCTGTTGCAACTATATGGACTAGTCCCCAGACACCTAAAACATACTGTTACTCATGAAGTGATTTGAAGTGCTAAGCATGCTATAGCTCCCACGATGCTGCTTACTTCTGTTCCAGCTGCTGGTCTTTAACTTTAATGAATATTCAATAGCTATTACTTTAATTATTCCAAATGAGAGAGGGGAGACATTAGTTCCTTATTATAATGTGCTCAAGGTCAATTTGTAATTGAGTTAGCAAATGGGTTCTTAGATAACTTGAAGATGCTGAATGTCTTCATAGCTTCACTGATGGATAGCTTTAGGTAAAGGATATTATCTCTGGCATATAACTTTTATTTTTAAAAATGTTATTCCTTTGAGACTTTCATACAATGAGTTTTGATTGATGCACACCCTCTCTTCCAACTCTTTCCAGATCTACCTCCCCTCCCTTCCCCACTCAACTTTGTGCCCTTTTTCAAAATATTATTTTTAAACCCACCAAGACCAAATTTTGCTGCCCAAATATTCTTGGATATGTGGTTTTCTACTGGTGCATAGTCAGCTACCAGGGGCTATACTCTTAAAGGAAATTCTCCCAGCAGTTAAAAATTGATGTTCTCTGTACATATGTTTCTCTAATTGGTTGATGAATAAAACACTGTTTGGCCAATAGAAGCAGGAAGACAGGTGGCACTAGGAGACAAGGAGAATTCTGGGAAAGGTAGTCAGAGACCCCAGGGAGACGTCATGTAGCTGCCAAAGGAGTAACAGATCTGGGCATTCTCCGGTAAGCCAAGACCACGTAGAAATACATAGATTTATAGAAATGAGTTAATAATTAAGACACAGCTAGCCAATAAGAAGCCCTAGCCATCAGCCAACAGTGTAATAATTAATATAGCATCTCTGTGTGTTCATTTGGGACTGAAGTGGCCAGACCTGGCTGGACAAGAAAACTCCAACTACAAACAATCTCAATGGTGAGGGATGGGATCTCATGCCTAACATTAATCTCTATGCTGGCTTTCATGCATGCTGTCTCAATTGACTGTGAGTTCATATGTGCAGATGTCCTGCTGTCTAGGACATACTGTTTCCTTATAGTTATCTACTTTTAGACTCTTCCCACCCTTTCTACTACAATGGAAATTTAGCATTGGGAAGAGTAAATGGATGAGAGTTGAACATTCTGTAGTTTCTTATTTCCTACACTTTGACAAGTGGTAGGTCTCTGTGTTAATCACTATCCCCTGCAAATAGAAGTTTCTCAGTTGAGGGTTGAGAGATAAAAGTATCTAAGAGCACAAAGATATGTCATTAGGAGTTTAATTATCTCCCCATTTAGCAAAATAGTAATAGTCAATTCACCCCTAGTGCCTTTCACCTATGTAGTCATAGACTCTTGGACCGGGGAAGGTCCCAGGTATGGGATTCATCTTAATGAATGGGCTTCAAATCCAGTCACTAAGTGGTTGGTTACTCCCATTAGTTGGTGCCACTATTACACTATCTAATAGAAAGGTCTTGCCAGGACAGTCATTATCATAGCTCACAAGATTCAAACCTGGGTATGCTTGATGATTATTTTTCTTTTGTAGTAGCATGCACAGTACCATGAAAGCTAGCCAGTAGTAATGAATCAGGTTAGTACCAACTTGATTTCTACATGTTCTATGATTCAAACGTGGGGTGTCTTCGACAGTAGGCTGAAGGTCAAGTTCTGGAGGGTAATGAAGAGCAATGGAAGTAGCTTGTAATATTTGGGTGTCTAAGGGATCACACTGGCCAACAATTCTAAAAGAAGTAACTGATTTCCTGGCACTTTTTATTTGTTAACTTCTGGTGTCTGTAGAGGCATAATTGTTGTTACAAGGTGTAGTAGTTTGAATAAGAATGTCCCCTATTGGCTCATATATTTGAACGCTTAGTCATCAGGGAGTGGCACTACTGGAGAAGAATTGGGAGGTATGGCCTTGTTAGAGTAGGTGACACCTCACTGGAGGAAGTGTGTCATATAGTCACAATTCACATTTTTGTTGTACTGTTACCTACTAAGGTTTTTAGCATTGCCGTGGAATTTTGAAATTTGATAATGAACCCATAATGGACATCTGCATTTATTTTGCTAGGCATTACATAGATCCTTTTATCTAAAACCACACATTATTTAGAACTAAAAAAAATTTTAGACGGTTCTCTCCCCTGAATTTTCTTTTTCTCTTTTCTATCTGGGATCCTTGGTGGTCAAATTTCAGACTTCCCATTTCATCCTTTTTTTGCAGCCAGAATGTACACCTAAATTTCATTGTTCCAGTGAAGTCTCAACCGTTGTCTTATTTGGTCTCAAAATACTTCAAACTACCATTAATATTAGGAGCTGGAAATGAGAATCCCAATTAGAAATGAGTAAATTTAAAAGGAAAATAAACACCAGGGCCTGGGAAGAAGTAGATAGGTAGCTTCGGAATAAGATTGTCCTAGCACCATTAGCATTACCTGAAAACTTGCAAGAAACTCAAATTCACATGTGCAAACTGGTCCTGAATAAGCAACTCTCAAACAGGACTTACTTATCTATGCTCAAAAAGGCTCTTAGAGATTTTGATGGTGTCCTGCAAGAAGACACCCCAAGGGCTTGAGTTTACCACCCTTCCCCAAGCTTGTAAAGAATGTAGCTATGCACTGACTGTGTCTGAGTCTCATTACTTCTGTGGGGGTGGGTCTTCATGATGAATCACTCACTGGGATTCATGTTGGGCTTAAGACTTAGACGGGATAGAATTTACAGCCAAATATCTTTATTCACATCTGACAAAACAGCTTCTAGAGTAAGCAGGAATTCATTGTTCAAAAATCCCTGCAACCTTAAAGTAATGTGCCTGAACCACTGTATGATTCTGTGTGATAATTTGTGAAACGAATGAATTAGTGATCACTAGAGTCATTTTCAGCTCAAAAATCTATGGTCAACCCTATGGTTTTTGGATTTAGAAAATAACCAACAATGAAACATAACAGGTAAATGCAATTCGTGAGAATGTAAATAATATTACATTTTTCATTATTACTGCCAGGACTCACCCCCGAGGACCTCCAACTTCCAGGCTTTGCCCACAGAACACTTAAGACCTTAAGGACCGGACCCATCCCCTAGCTGGTGGCCAAGAGCCATCTACAGAGTAAAAAGCCCAGGATCAGGCCACAAAATCCCACGAATCCCAGGCTACCCTGGTAAACGCTGCCCTTAAGGAACCATATATAAAGGCTATCTCTGGCTCAGTACTTTTTGGCTTCTCTCTTGAGCAGAGGGAGCCACCCTCCCATGTCTTTCCCAAAAAATTTCTTGTGTGCGGCTTGTGCAGTGTGACTTTGTGGTATTCTTTGGCTCCTGCCTGATTTTTCTCCTCTGAGATGTAACACAATTACAAATACATTTTTGACTGTATAAAATGAATATGCCTGACTCTACTGTTACATGGGGTAGTAAGAATTACAGTATACCAAATTTAAATGCTCCCTGTTCAATTACTTCAGAGAAGAAATGAATGGATATTTGGTGACTAATATTTCATGAAATTTTTGGTCTAGTGTGTGTCATGCATATTGAGTTTTGTACAGGTTTTGTACAGACCTGTGCCCTAACTACAAGAGAGCCTGATATTTAAATCTCAACATTAGGAATGTACAGTTTCTTAAGTCAGAAGTTCCCAAGGGAAAGGAAGAATGCTCAAAAGGGACCCAACAGCTAGTTAATTTAATTGTGAGCAGATGGATCCCCAAGATGCTGAACGACTGTGGAGGAGGTCTTTTTAGCAGAAAAAGCAGTAAGATAGAGTAGCAAACACAGACAATACCTGCTGTCCAGTTGTGTCTTCAGGATGACATTTTGTATTCCTCCTCACATGTGTATTACATGTATAACATCTGATAATTACTAAACCAGTGAGAATGAGTCAGTTCATTATGTCTAGAATTTAACGTTATTCATTGTTTTTAAAAAATGTTTTACTATATAAAACATGTTGACCATTAATATGATTTAGTCGGAGTCAGTGACCATGTTAGGGTGGTTTCCTTATTCTTGTTCAGGACTCATTTGGCTCTATCTTTATTTAGAAACAATGCATTAGAGTGGGCAGGGACCTTAGCAATTATGCAGTCCAAACTCCTCATTTACCTGTGCCTAAAAATGGAAAAGACAGAAAAGTGGATAGGCATATGTGGGTATCTTTGGTCTGTTGCATAGCAACAGCTGTTGATTACATATCTCTAACATTTTGGTTAAAAGGCAGCATAATATAAAGTAACAATTGCAGACAGGATAGTCAGACCTGGAGTTGAAGATTGGCTCTGTCGTCGGTCACATTACTAAACTTCTTTGTACTGTGGAGATAAACTCATCTCACAAGATTCTTGCAGGACATAAAGTTGTAATAAAATAGTAACAGGCTGGCATTCAGCAACCAAAGTCTAAGAGTCTCCCACATAAAAGATGTCGCACCATTCACCCATATGCATTTGTACTCTGAATGTATAAACACATCAACCTGAAGATCCTACAGAGAGCAGAACAAGTTTGAAAACCCATCTCCAAAAAAGAAAGAAACAAAGAGGAAAACTCCCTTTCCACTCTATCTGCAGTCCACCTTCTGATAGTCACAAATTTGAAATATTAGGGTTAGACCTCTGAATCTTGAACCTAAATTACCAAGCATAACTTATTTGTTGATACTTCCTTTCTCTTTGTTCTTTGCTAGGATTTAAAAAGGAATTACATTTAACACTTAGACCAGAGCCCTTAAGGCCGTGTTTCCCAGTCTTCCTTCCTCATGTTGTGACCCCCAACTATAAAATTATTTTTGTTGCTACTTCTTAACTGTAATTTTGCTACTGTTATGGTTCGTAATGTAAATATCTGTGTTTTCCAATGTTCTTAGGCGACCCCAAGGGTGCCACCCCACCGCTGCCCTCAGAGGCAGACTGGAGGACAGATCTTCCAAGCGCACGTGGTTCTAAAGTAAATATTCTTCAGGAAGCATGGGAAAGAAATGGAAGAAGGTGGATAATGAAGGGAAAAGCAACACAAATGACGTAGTCTTGGCTGAATTCTCGTAGCTCTGGCATGAATCGCTCAGCAGAATTATCTTGAGGCAAGAAGGTCATGGGGGGGGGGAGGAGCAGCTTGGGTGGTGGTTCCCATTAGACAAGCCTGTGACAGCCGGGCCATAAGCAGGAAGCCCTCAGAGCTTTGGCCAAGTAGGTGATGAAGCAGACAAGGTGCTCGACCTGGCACTGTAGTTTCTTTGAAAGGTTGGCTTCTAAATCTTTTCTTTATTTGCATCCAAAATGTATCAAATTATAGTTTTAAAAACTTACAGGGTTGTAAATTTGCTTTACTCTGCCAGTCAAGGTGTGGACTCGGGCAATTAGCTCCGTGTTGCTAATTCCCACAAAAGCTTTGAATGGCATAGTGACATCAGAAGCCTAAGATGCTGAGAAGGGTGTCAAGTGCTGCTCCGCAGAGCAAGGATGGCGATACACACAGGTGCTTAAGGGAAAAGAATATTTGAGTAGACATTGTCCTTTTGATAAATCAAATCACAGTTTTTCTCAGCTCGATAATTACTGGCACTTGGCATCACTTGCTGCCAGTGATGAATAAAACATAGTCTTTTATGAAGTTCCTGCAGCACTGGAGGCTTCTGTTCCGTAGGGGTTTACATTCTTGCCTTCAGCTCTAGCTTTCTAACATCTAAGATTTGGAAAAGGAAACGTAAAAGCTGCTTTTGCTAAAAGAGCATGGACTCCTTACTCGGGCTAACAGTGCAACACTGGCAAGGGTGTGTTTATTTTGTGTCTCTCTATTCCCTTGCACTGCAAACACAGAGATATGTTGTTGTCCTTAAACTTTCCTTTTGGGTCACTATGGGTTCCCCAAACACAACTTTGTAGAACACACCACCTCTTAAATGAGAGCAATTGTCTACAAAGGTGAGGTTATACTCTGGAGCAGAAGGGGCCATATTTAAGGAACCAGACGGATGCCCTCAAGGTATGATACTGAGAAGCACAGGTGGGCCAGAATTGAGACAAGATCAGCCAGACTACACCTTGGCCAGGACTGCTCAATCATATATTGCAGCCTCCCAATTATTTCTCTTTTCAAACTTAAAGTGCCTCTTGGATTTTTTTCTTCCCAAAGTGGCTGCTTTGAATAAATCTCACCTTTCTGTGTTTCACCATTTTGTGTCATTTTAAATTGGCATATTGGGGGCAAATAGCCTAACCTAGCTTTGGAGTGACTTTCCAGAGGGCAAGCTGTTTGTTGTCCCCAAAACCCTCGTTATAGTAGCATCAGAGAAACTTGGCTATGACAAAAGAAAAGTAGGACATATTTATTGGATTGCAATTGATAAGTCACGGGATATTTCATGTAATATAAAAGAATTAATTTAATCCAGACCTTTGTTTTCATAGGTGAGAGGAATGAAGCCACATGGAGACCATGAAGAAACTCAGAGATCAGCAAGAGGAAAAAGTCACTGCAGCATCGAAGCTGGAGGAAGACCTGGAGTTGCTGAGTAGAACATAGATGTTTAGGGGTCTATTCAGTGGACTCATGCAGGAGGAGGTGCATTCAGGCAGAAGAGAGAAAAGTTTCCTGGCTTCTTTCTTGGTCTGGCTCTCAGTATCCTGCTGGAGCCTCTCAGGGGCTTCAGCCAGCTGGGGTGCACCTTACTTCCAAGCTGGGAACTGTGCTGTGTAGGGATCAGATCCTCTACAATCCACATCACAACAGAGGAAGGTGAGAAACGGCTTCAGCAGGAAAGAGCAAAGGACAGATGCAGTAATGATTGCTAAAATAACAGTGGAAGGCCGCATTTTGGCCTTCTGCGTTCCTAGGACCTAGATATCGTTCGGTGAGAGTAGCATGTGTCCTGTCTCCTGATTCATTTCCTTATCGCTCTTCAATGTTTCTATTCATTACTAGCTTTTTAAATCATGTGCTGATAACAAGATTCCATATGTGATGTTCCTAGTGAAGTTTACTCTTCTGTAAGCTTCATGTCCACTATCCCAGACAGCAGTAGCCACCTTTATATTTTGTTGTTTCACCCTCTAGCCACAGAATACTAAAAGGGGGTATATGTCTAATCCTACCTGGGGAATCACAATTGTCTCCTTAGATCTGTGAATCACATGTACTGTATATGTTATGTTGCCAAGTACTAATTGCAGTAGGTTGGGATATGAAAACTTGGGGAATATGCTATGACTGTTTTCTGGGAACTAGAATGAATGAGGAAATAATTTTAGCCTAGAAAGTACAATGGAATAAATTTACAGGAAGAGGCAGAGAGGGAATGAGATTCAAGTAAGAGCCACCCAAAGCTATACAGTTAAAGGTCCCAGCTCTTCAGAAGACCGACTTTCACTTTCTGCTCCTGATCACGAGAAATACTGTGTAAATACTACACAGCCTACATAAATCCTCCCTCCTTTGTTTCAGTTGCCCCCAGAGGCTTTCCTGTCATATAAAAGTAAAAGGATCCTTACCAAGATAATGTTTTCACAAACAATTTAAAAATTAAATTATGGGCCAGCAAGATGGCTCAGTGGATAAAGGCACTTTCCACCAAGACTGGCAACTTGAGTTCCACCCCTGGGACCCACCCAGAAGAAGGAGAGAATCCACTCTTGCAAGTTGTCCTTTGACCTCCACTTGTAGTTAGTGGGACATACACACCCACACACATACACGCACATATAAATAGATGTCACAAAGGATTTTATTGCAGCTGAATTGCACTCCCCCTTTCACATTTCCCTTTTCCTCTAAGATAGTGAGGACAGGTGTTTAATGCTGATCATTTTCCAGAGACACACCCATAGTGAAATGATTTTGCACTGATGTTAGGTTGAGGAGAACAGCTAGCATGGCTCCAGATTCAACTTGACATGTTGACCCAGTTCTTATGCAATGATGGGATGGATACAGATACACATTATAATATCTGACACACGTGAGAAGAATGTTACCCTTTCACAATTTCCTGTTTTAGGACAAGCCCCTACTACTGCCCAAGCACCATAGACTTACCATATCTTAAGGGACTGTTGACACACCACTTTAAATATATGGCCTTATTCTGCTTTCGCCTCCACTCCTGAATACCCAGTTTTGTGATCACTGGATAAACAGGTTGAATCATAACTGAACCTATTGTCATATCTGTCCAAAGATCTGCATGTATTTTATGCACCTCAGAACACTAGCCTCTAGAGATGTTTACAAGATACCTGAGTCCTGTGTCTGTTGCTATTTATATTATATTCCCTAGGAAATACGTTATCTCATCAAGAACCCAATATATTTACCAGTTCCTGCTTTGCAGGTCATTTCGGCATGATGTTATTTTAGCAATGGACTAAGATAATGCCAAGATGATAGGTGCTCTAGGAGAGCTGACCTTTGCACTAAAATGAACTGACCCGAGTCTTACTGTAACTTTCTGATAAATGCCCCTTTGCTTTAGTTAGCTTGGGTCAGTTTCCGCTGTTTTTAAGTTAACTGCATATACCATTATTGCTGTTTATTTCCGGTGGTGAACTGATTTATAGTTACATAATAGCTACTCTTGGTTGTCAACTTACTACATTTGCAATTAAATAAACCCAAGTGGCTGGAACACCTGTGAAGGATTTTTTTAAATTAAATCTTATGAAGTGGGATTGAAGTCTGTATCTTTTGAGGTGGGAAGACACACCTTTAATGCAGATCTTATGAGGTTGTAAGATCCACCTTTAATCTGGGCCACACCTTCTGTTGGCACCTTTATAAGGACATGAAGAAGGAAGTTAGCTCTCTTTGCCTGCTTGTTCTTACTGGCTAGTCCATTCTTTCACTGGCATTAGATCCCACTTCTTCAGGATTCCAGCATATACTGAAGACGAGTTGAGACATCTAGCTTTAAGGACTGAACAACTCTGTTCTTAGACTTTCTGTTGGTAGACAGCTTGTTGGATAGATCACCGCCTGTAAGCCATTCTAATAAATTCACCCTTCTTTTCTCCTTCCCTCACTCCCCCTTTTTCTATATATGCTGTATAGAGATAATAATATATATTATTCTGCAAGTTCTGTTCTTGTAGACAACCCGACTAATACAATTAGTTCTCAGGCAGGATAGAGCACCATAATACTTTGAGATCCCTTGTAATTCTTCAAGTGAATAAGAGAAACTTGAGCACCCAGCTGGTCTGCCTTCTCCAGGCTCACTAAGACGTACACGACGTTTCGTCAAACCTTCTGCTTTGCTGCGCTCCAGATTTCTCTGTATCTTGCTCCACCCAAAGCTTCAGACTTCCCTCTTGTATTTTCTATCATTTAAAAAAACCACTGAATCTTTCTTATAAATGTATAAGTGTATTCAAATACCTCTCACATTAAAATAAAACTGTTTACTTAGAATAACTAAGGAACTTAAATAAATGAACTGCCTGACTAGTTATTAACCTGTATTTTCCTGAGTATAGACAATTTCTGAAGAGTAATCTATACCCTTGTCCGTTTTCCTTTTTTCTTTAATCAAGCCATGTAATCTTATTTCCACCACCAGTATGTATTCTATTAATTAAGAGCACTAATGATGACTACAAGATCATTGAAAGTATTTGAGACTTCAGTTATGTGGTACTGATAAATATAATAGTTGACTCTTTGCAAGCTATCCACCATCAATATGATGTCTGTCTCCGATAATCAAATGTTCACTGCTCACACACTTTGTCTTCTCTGTGGCTTTACATCTTAAATATTGATAACCATGGAATCCTATCATCTTGCTTTTTTGTTTGACTTTGAATGTAAGAGGTCAGTTTGTTAATTCTACTTGAGAGAGCAATATAAGCAATTACTGCTGAACACGCTCTATATGCCTGGCTCTACATTGAATTACTTAGGTACACTCTCACTGAATTTATCCTTCCATGGCCTTCTGCAGGCTTTATTAGTAACATGTTCCAATAAATTCCACAGTGTTAGCAAGAGAGCTGATTCAAGTCTGGACCTATTGACAGCAGAACCTACCCTTATCAGTAACCTTATTAATGGCTTGATTTCCAAATCTCTCTCCAGATATCTCTCCTGAGGAGTAGCAGCCACAAACTGCCAAGTCCCTCAATGTCATCACATAAAAATACACTTTATCCCAGATCTTTCCTTTCCTGTATGTTGTGTCTTATTGAATACCAAACACCATAAAGTCATACAATTAGAAGCTTTAAAATCACTCCGTCCTCACACCATCCCTGTCTTTAATTACCAGTTACCAAATCATGTCAAACTTACTTATTCTCTTTTTTGTCAATACTTCTTTTCATTTATTCTTATACCCCAAATCAAACACTGCTGAAACTTAACTAGAATCCCTGTTTTTGATCTCTATATACTGCCCCCAATTCATCTTGCACTTTCCATCTATGCTTGTAAGCATATCTACTGTATAGGTGTTTTTCATAAAGATGACACTGTTCTGCCTAGAGCAGATTCTCAGTATGAATTTTGAGTAATAGTCAGAGAAATATGCTAAAGAAGAGAAGAGTGTGTGTGTGTGTGAGAGAGAGAGATTCCCAGAGGTCTAAGAACTACCCCACATTCCCTGTAGCACCTTGTTTCCTTTTGTGATAAATAATCTTGGATCTCCCAGTGCTAAACGCTTAAATCATGACTGAGATTTCCGTTCTCATACGTTGGGCTGTACATGTCAAAGTTGTCCCCTGAAGTCACACAAGGGACTTCATGATTCTCCTTCCTTCAGTGAATCTTTTGTCAGCTACCTCTTTCCTCTTTAACCTTTGCTTCTTTTCATTGACTCTCCTGATATATGGAAATCTTATAAACTTTCTTTTGAAAGTGAGACTGGCACTTAAAGACAGATATAATAATATCTGTCTTAATAATATAGCCACATTGCCCAGAAAGAACATACCATATTGAAATAATTTGATCAATGCACTACTCACTCAAAAGTATATTAAATGCTTAGAATATGCATATTTTGAACATATTGTTCTTCATTAAAAGTATATTTCATTTTTTTTTGTTTTTTTGAGACAGGGTTTCTCTGTGGCTTTAGAGACTGTCCTGGAACTAGCTCTTGTAGACCAGGCTGGTCTCGAACTCACAGAGATTCGCCTGCCTCTGCCTCTTGAGTGCTGGGATTAAAGGCAAGCACCACCAACGCCCAGCTTAAAAGTATATTTCCTTTTTTTAAAGTTGCCACTTTTCCTTGGAAAAATAAATCGATTTCTAGAAAATGTTGATTTTAATTTGTAGATTAATGAAAGAAATTAATCATTACTGTATGGATTTCAAATGAAAGATGGCAACTAAGAGCTGATTTGTTTGTGTATTTTATTTTCTAAGTAAGTTGAGGCAGGTAGGAAAGAGGGAGCCATGTCAGTATATGTAAGGAGAAAAATTGACAATGTGCATGTATATATTAAAGGTTTTTGTAAGTCAAGGATTTAAAATGAAATCATACATACAGAGAAAATTCATTGCTTTTCACAGCACCAAATATATGTTGATTTGACAGGAAATGGAGCGAGAAAGGGGCTTATGGTCTGTTTTTCTAATATCTACTCTTTAATTACCTTCTCGGTTTCCAAAAGTTTCTTAGAAATAATGTCTGGTAATAAAATGACTTGTCCATTTAAAATTAAAACAATCAAAAGCAAATGCTTGTAGTAAAAGAAAATATGTTTTTAGATATTTCATTTATCGGAAGCTTGGAATCACAGAGCAAGTGCTTTTGTAATCCGCTTTTCTGCAGTCAACATTTCTCCAACCATTTCACCACCTCAACAGTGCAGGCCTTCCCCCTGATGATCACATTTTTTTTTCTTTTGGTTTTACGAGACAGGGTTTCTCTGTATTATTTTGGAGGCTGTCGGTCCAGCCTGGCCTTGAACTCACAGAGATCCACCTGCCTCTGCCTCCTGAGTGATCACATTTATTTAAGTCAAGACTATGAATCCACTTTATACTTAAAAGCATCAAACAATGCTCTTTCTGCTTCCTGCGCAAGGCAAACACTATTCCGAGGACATGTATTTTCTAGATGTGTTCACTCTAACACATCCTGTTACTCTTTCATGTTCCTAAGGTTTTCTTTGCTGCTTTTCTTTCTTAAGCTATTTTAATTTCCCTCCCAAGACATTTTGTACAAGGCCAATTGCTGGTCGCTCCCTTCCCTGCCTCTTGCTGTGGTTCCATCATATGTAACTTATTCTTTTGTAACAACTAGATGTTATTTTCCCCCTTTCCCATGGTTCCTATAGTTCCTCGTTGAAAAGATCTACTGCACACAGCTTTCTAACAATTTATGTTCTGCTCTAAAGGACATTATGTTCGTATTATACCTAGTAGGAAAGACTCCTGACGGGACTTGGTACAGAACTCTTTGAGCGGATAAAAAAGCCCTTTTCTTATCTTCAGTAATAGTTGTCGTTTGTTCTCTTGATTTGGAAAGCACGTGTGTCTGTCCTTGATTACCAATATAGAATACTAGTGTTCCAAGACCACCATAAACAGCAAAACCCCTAATTACACCCCCTTTTCTATTTTTCTAAACCCAGTAAGAGATGAAGCCTTTACAAAAGTTTTCAATTGAAGTGCTCTCCACTGGATTCCCTAGGTAGCCAAAGTTTTTTTTTCTTTTTTCTTTTTTTCATTGAATGACATCCCAGGAAGGCTAAATAGTTATACCACATTAACTTACATCTCTTATAGGACCAAATGCACTAAAGTCTAGTTTTAACATTCTGTATTTTAATGGATGAGTGCTGTAAGAAAAAAATAAGAAATTCACCTTTATACAAGTTATTTTTATCTTTTTATAATGCTATTGTAGAGGATATTCTAGAGTAATATAAGTTAGCAGTCTCTCTGTAAAAGTGCAAAATATGATGCTCATTTTGAAATTTAGCTGTGAAAAGTGAGTGGGCTTTCCAGAAGCACTGAGATTTTTTTCTGTTAATAGTTATAAATCATTGTATCTCTCCCCTGTTGCCTACCCCATTACTGTGTGCCAGAACAGTAGCAGCAAAATCTGATGTGCAATGACATGAAGCACTTTGGTCGCTTTTATAATGCCTTCACAATGTTTGACCTGTCCCCATATACTACAAAGAGCAGTTTGTTGTATAATAAAACCATTTTTATACTAACAAATATTTTTGAAAAAGTCTTGGGCCTGGTATGCTAGATATATTGAAAATTTTTATTGCAGTAATTTAAAATCACCAACCTTAAAAAGTTATGTGTACTTTAATTGCATTTCACATATTATCAATGCATGTGTTAAAACAGTAATTATGTTAGCCTTCAGGATTGGTTTTCATTGTTCTTCTGGATTTGTTTCTGATTTCCTTTTGTTGTGGCTGTTTTCGTGTGGTGTGTATTGAAACTAGGACTTTGTGCATGTTGGGCAAGTACTTACACCATTGAGCTATATCCTTAGGCCCCACCCCCACCCATTTTTTTCTTTAATAACATCATTCTATGTATTTTTAACCTCTCACAATATCTTTGCTGAGGAGACTCATGACTGTAGCTGGTGGAAATCTAAGTACAGCTAATGTAGCTTAAAAATAAAAAAAAGGCAAACCTAGTCTATTGGTTCTC